TTGTATTAATGTTTTGTATTCATATATAACTTAAACTATTTTAGACTTCCTTCATAGCATAGAAATAGCGTTTTTCCTCTTCTTTTTTTTCTTCTTGGGTGTTCATTTGTGCTCAAGTTTTCTTGCTGACCTGTATTTTATTTCTATTTAATGCTGATGTTAACTGGCTGCCTGGCTCCGCTAGCCCCTATGGTTATTCCAGGCAGCTAGTACTCAAATTTTTACATTTAATATTTTCATTGAAATTGTAATTTTTTCTTTAGCAAGAATGAGTACAAATAAAGATTGATTATGGTTTTTGCACTCCAGTCTTGAATTGGGTATGTTTCAAAGAAGAAGCCATTTGTTCATCATTACCAATTAATACCACCAACAAAAGCCCCTCACAAATCATGCTTACGGCAATTTAACACTGGTGTGAGTTATGGACCTAATTATAAAGCAGGTTTGAAACAGGGTATTGATTAAGGGTCAGGTCTTGAATAGGATATAAAATTTTTGGTCAGGTCATATTAAAACAGGGGTTAAAAAAAATTGCCGATTTTGGTCCTAAATAGGGTAATGGTTTTTGGGAAGCGGGCCGCACACCCCCACCAAAATTTTTATGGGAGTAACCCCCCCCCCCGCCCTTTCCTGGGCCGGGACCTTGCCGAATCAGACGTTAGTAGTAACACTTACACCAGAAAACTCAGTGGTGCACCTGAACTTGGAACAAAAGCCCGTTAATACTATTTTATGTTGGCTGGAGATACCTTTGTGTAGCATGTACAGCAGCAGGACCGTTCTGGCCAGGGTACAGGGACATATGTCATTCAACACGAACGTTACTTGCTGTTTATAAGCATCAGGTAAAGATGCAATGGTCAACAGAACATTCCTGGGATCACCGACTCCACACAACAAAAGAGCAAGCGGGCTGGANAAGATGCAATGGTCAACAGAACATTCCTGGGATCACCGACTCCACACAACAACAGAGCAAGCGGGCTGGAGTACTCCTCTCCTTCGTTCATCGACAAGTTAATTAGATCCACAGCCGGTATATTGCCCCAGTAATATGTAGCTGCGGTGCCGGGGTTCTCCTCTTTTATCTTAAGAAACATCTTCATTCGTTCAACTAGTTGAACTGTTTTCTCTGTAGTTTTGTGACACGAGGACCTGTGACTTGCCCAGTGGTTTCTCTGGCATTTCACGTTGTAGTAATAACCTTTCAAGTAGGTGGAACATTTCATCATTCCTTCTCGTTCAACACCGCAGCTGGAACATTCCGTCTTCAGCACAGCGTCATCACAGTTGGGTTTATGTCGCCATTTGTCTTGTTTCTGACATACCTTAGAACAGTAGAAGGCTACTCGGCAACGAGAACACCTTTGTATACAGGGTGCCTCGCATCTCCAACAGTAACCAGCTCTGTTCATTGCTGAAATTCACGCGATCAGTAATCAACTTAAGATTTCCCACTGAAACGATTAATTTAGGTGACCTCTACTAGAGAATGTAGTCATTTTACAAAAGATTGATCAAAAACTGATCAACACCACAATGTAGGCTACGATCCAACAGTAGTTTAATCGAATGTCATCATCGTTTCGTTGCAAATATAAAGCTATTGGCTAATATTTATAAATTAATATATTCACGTTTTCCGAGAAATTGCTAACAAATGTAAAATCATGCAAAGCATTAGCAGATTTGCACGTTGTCGTCATTTGACTACAACTACCAGAATTCCTTTCGTTTTTTCTTTATTATTTAAATTTTTAATTCCCAGTGGGGTTTAAATAACAATTGCCCTGATTAGCATAAGAAACAGAAAAAGTGATGGATTCTGGTAGTTGTAGTCAAGTGACGCCATCATGCAAATCGCCTCATTATTACTGTGTTGCGTGACCCAATATTCAATGCTGTAATAATAGCAGGCAATAATAAAGGAGTATATTTATCGTCCAATTCCACTCAGCAGATGTAATTAGAAATAACAATTGACGTACAAGAAAAGTACAAACAGGGTACAGTTGCGACCAATTATCGTGAGCTGTTTTGGAAACCGGCTTAACAGGTTTATCGATAGTAGACATTGTGGTAGTCGTTTAGCTCAGTTCCTGACCAAATGACAGTCCCCCCATATGACCACAAAGCACAGTAAAAAGTTTAGTATTGGGACAAAAAACCTTTGATAATAAATCTCTTGTTAAACATTTAAGCGTGTATAGTATCGCTATAGTCTTATTGCAATGACGAATTGCTATTTGTTTTCTCTTGTTTACATGTAATAGTTTAGAGTTTACACGATCGTCTGAGTGATTTTGGCTGCGTTTTCACTAGGCCGATTAACTAGCTGAACATTCTTTCTAGGTGTTTGTTTACAGACCAACATTTACTAGTTAAACGTGACATCTGTTTTCACTGGAAATTTAACCCAGAAGATTCAAATTACGAAAGCGCGCAACTTTCAAAAATGGCTTAGAGAGGAAGCGCTTTT